TTCAACACAGCGGTATCTACCTATGGGTAATGTTAACACGTAAATACCAACAAAAAACAATCCACGAATTAAGCAGCATACTGTACAGAATATTTATTGGAATCGAAATAATGGATTTCTAAAAACATCCGTTCTTCACACTCATGCACGTAAGTATTCACTTTATTTATTTATTAAAAATTAAAACTAAATAAGTATTCCAGTGTAAAATAACTTAATTTATCATTATCACAATAAATAACTTTATTATGAATAGATACGAGGCATCTGAAAACCTTCATTACAAAGACTGACTCATGGTTTTTGCGCTATTTATTAAATATTTTACCTTATGATAAATGTATGTAAAGATCTATATAAAATATAAATATTTAATCATTATCATTTAATAGTCGACTGCTGGATATCTCTCCTTAGAACGAAGGTTTTCGTCTACTATACCACGCTGGCTAGACGGGCTAGTTTAGGGTTTATGTCAAGTTTTCCTTCTTTTTGCAGTGCTGTTGCCTGCGTAGTTTGCTCGCTTATTCGGCTCTTACGACACCCACGGGATGAATGGGGGTGGTGAAACTTCGTATTCTGTATCCTTCACCATATGGAACAAATATTTAATACCATATTTTTTTCACAAAATCATGAAATTCATGCACGTAAGTGGAGCTAAGATAAAATATGCAGTTACATAATGCTTGATAGTCATGAGTGCTACTTATTATTTTCAAATCCACTAGTTCTTTAAAATAAAACTATAGCTTCATTAAAAAATGACTAAAAGTGAAACTCGGACTTTGCAATCGACTACAGTTTACAATTTCCCTTCCTACTCAAACGATGTTCCTACCCACTGTGTACGGGAAAGCGTAGCGTGGAACGGCCTACCATCAAGACCGATACTCTTGCCTAGTAACCAAAAATCATGGATGAATTAATAGACAAGAATAAAATTGCTTAGTATACTCTTTTTACTGCCAGCTAGAGTAAATCCCGAAACAGTTTCTAGCCTTAAGAGTAGTTAAGCGTAGACCATGAGTCATTGCAGAATTAAACCATTTTATTTTATACAATCTTAGTGCGCGGGGAATGGCTTGGTAGGTTAATGTATAGAGCCAATTTTTGCTAAGCCATTGTCAAAAATTTGCTCTTTATACTATATACATATATATTACACATAAATTAGCTCCTACGTCCTGTCGTTATCGTAATTTCCTAAAAAAAGAACACCAACAAAAAATATTATTAAATACTTACAAAGCACAGCAGGTCTTTCGTCCGAATTAAAGATACATTTTAAAAGAATTGCGAGTGAATATACACGTATCTAGAAACATACTGTCAAGTAGGGGCCGAAAAGGGGGGTGGAAGTTTGTAGTGGAAATCAATAACCGCTTAACCGATTTAGATAAAATTTGGTCTGGAGATATTTAGATTTAGGAAGAAGGACATAGGTTACTTTTTACCGCGATAACCAAAATACAAGCGGGCGGAGCCGCGGGTAAAAGCTAGTAGTAAATAAAAATATTTAGGGGTCTAATGCACCTTGATAATTTGATAATAGAATTCCTGGCCTTCGTTTTTTTTGTTATACCTAAGCTAGACATAAATACTACTTATAAGATACTATAGAAAATATTGAAACGCTTGCCACTATCACACGTGCCTAATATAAATAATATAGAATTATCATAGAATTATAAGCAACTACCCACGACGAATTAAAATTCTGGAGGAAAGCCATGGCGCAGAAAAACAGTTTTTATTTCAAAGGAGGAGTATTTCTTCAAATATATAGTGGTTTGACTTGGGGCTATGTTTTATAATAAACATCAGCAACCACTTACAAACGCCCCCATTAACATAGGTATGGTCCTTAAAACGAAAAGTCATAAAGTGTTTTACAAGACGTTATAAGAGGTACTAATCGAAAGAAAGACGATGTAATATAAAAAGGAATTGTTTCGGTATTTGATTTTAACCAATTATCTTTTTTGAGTGTCGCTTTTCGCTTAAGCGACCGTGACGTTACGTAACATTAATAACGCTCAGTAAACGTAATCGTATCGGTAAAATGATTGCAATCCGTAATATTTTCAACGGTATAAACTGAAATGACTTCTCACTCGGTACATTGGTCTTATTCTTTTCTTCTTGGTATTTTTATTATTTTTAGCTACCGTACCTGTAGCCCAAAATCGATCTAAGTGGCGTGCAATGGGAGAGGCCTATGTCCAGCAGTGGACTGCGATAGGCTGATGATGATGATGATGTAGCTGTATGCTCAAATAAGCATGTCAACCACAACTATTTTTAGTTAAAAAGTCTTGTTTATGTGAATATAATCATGTAAGATGCATTCGTTAAAAGTCAGTTTTTTGACAGATGACACGGTGTATGCGCATCTAGGGAAATAATATTAGTTTTTGTTAAAACAACTGAAGGACGGATAATGGACTTACAGATGTGCCGAACGGATATGTATGTGCAGGTCGAACAGATATTTCCCACCGCAGCGAATTCGCTTGTCTCGGCAATCATTTTTGACACAGGTGTCTTATAGTTTAGTTTGGTTCGTCATAACTTCAGTATGGCCTTACCGATGTGTTACCCGGAAAAAGTGTGACACCCACTGTGTCTAAAATGAAAAAAATAGCGTGATTCTGTAAAAGAAGCAGTGGAGCTAAACCCATGTGTCATAGGAATCCCCCAAATGATTCTGCCTTCGCTAGTGGAGCAAAGATACTATGTCACATGACTAAGCCCGCAATGACTCTTCAATAATTTAAATTAAACGAACTACACTATTTCTAATGATTACAACGGTGTTCTCATATCCAAAAGGCTCAAAACAATATTTTTCTATATGTATAAATTCACAAGTCTACTTTGCAAATTCCTTATCTTCCAGAATGTCAATAAGGGGAATTGCTAACCTCCCGAATTTATTACCACATAACGTATACCGACACATTGAGAACAGCTGACATTTAAATACCGGAATATCAAACAAGTATGTTAGTAATGTTGTATGTCGGTATACAGCATTATGCGTCTAGCTTTTTTACACTAAATATTATACCCACACTAAATTGCAAATTACACTTACGATTAAATTATTTCCTCAGCGATAAAAATCTCAAATTCCTCAGCGTCTGGTTTATAAGTATATTTGTATCCACCACCGACCGATTCCCACCAGATCTATAACTCTAAATCATCACCATAAATTAAGTAAGACGATTTAACAACTTATGTATGTTAAATTTTTATTAAGTCGTGTTATATCTATATGCTTTTCAATCATATGCATTTGATGAAATGATTGGTTTAAAAGCGATTTCACATGTGATTGTGATTTCATCATAGACAAAGATAAATGCTATTAAAATCACACAGTGGTAGCATATGTGACTGCTGTGCTGAGGTCTCGGGTTCGATTCCCGGGTCGGATATATATAACGCACACATTTTGCCAACTTTAATGTTAGTCCGGATCTACGAATTTTTAGAGTCGGGGCAGAAACTTCATTATGGCCCTCTCTTCAGCGTTTGAATAAATAACTTAAAAATCTTTACAAAATATTCTTATAAGAAGAAATCCTTTAATAAATTTGCACTCTTTAATATATTTCACTCAATAACTTTTTCAACGTGCGCTGCATGCTTGGCGATTTGTAAAGCAAGTTTTTTTTATAAAACCCGGGGCTTGCCCCGCTTTAAAGCCTTAGAAACGAGGTTTTTGGCCTACTATAGCACGCTGGCCAGACGGGTTGGTATAGAGTTTGTGTCAAGTGTTCCTTCAATTTTCAGTGCTGTTGTTCAGTTTGCTCGGGATGAATAGGCATCGTGACACTCCGTATTCTTAATCCATTACCACACGGATACGGAATGTACAGTACGACCAAATTGGCCATTCATTTGAGTTTCTTTAAGCGCATCTTTACATCTCATAAATCGTATAAAATCGTTACTTAATATAAATATTACTTTAGTACGAAAGCGTTTTGATACTGATAACTGGTTGACAAAGTTAAATAAAAACTTAAGTTACAAAAGTTTCACCGGTTTCCATGCGCCTACATTACGAGTTGTAATAAATTGTTTTTTAAAAGCTACACTCGCACTAGTAATATATCCTGTGTCGCTGGGGATTTTACAAACATTTATGAAACGTATACAAAGTATACCCATACTGAGAACAACAATTTGTGTATCACACACTCAGCTCAATAGGAAGCGGGGAGGTGACCGCTTAAAACACTACGCCATCCGTTCAGTCAACTGTTTTCTTCATTCTTTAATTTTCCGCCTTTAGGGTGGTATTTTTTTCCTTCAATGGGCATGGGACCAAACGGCAAGTATACAATCCCAAATAAGATAAAAAATTCAAACACTTTATAAACGACAGAGTTCTGACTTAACACATGAAAAATACAATCGAATTGGGAACTTACGTCTTTTTGAAGTCGGTTAAATTGCTTTGCAATCTATTATATACTATACTCTTACAACAATACTTGTGTCACTAGAATAAAAACTTGGCAAAACACATTCAAATAAGTGACCGCTACGAAAGCCAAGGCTATGCTGTACTTTATAACAATAGTGTTCTGACACCCTTCTTAAATCTCAAATGTATCAACAGTATACAATCTGTCAAAACAATTAATCGAGATAATGAACATGTTTTTTGATGTTTCTTTAATGTATATGAGTTTAAAAAACATATGTTTTAAAATGAACACCAACGCAGAGTGAGAGCATCACTTATCACCTCTGAAACAATTATAGTAGAAGTATGGTGACGTCATGTGGCAGGGCACGAAAGACCTACAAACTTACTCCTTGTTAATTTCTCTACACCAGGGGTTGGATACCTTGGACTCTTTGTTTACCTTTAAAGGCGTAAGAGTTATGGCGACCGTAAAAAAGTGGATCATGTTCGACCGGACTCGAGTAGAAAGTGAAACCGCTCAGTGTAGTTAGTATAAAAATTGTAGCAATGCATGCAGCCGGTTCAGTCGAGCGCGCGCAACGTCGCGTCACTCCCGCCAACACGCCCACACAAAATGGTCAGTTCTCACTTTCGTTTTGTGTTTGTTTTTTTAATGTAAAGTATCACGTAATATGTATTATATATATATATCCATAGTGTATTATTTTTTGTGAAATAATATTTAGTGTATTTATTTAAGTGATTTAGTGAAAGTATGTATATTAAGGATATAAATTTATCAATTATGAATAATACGTTTTAAGATTATTTTTTTTATCTCTATTGTTTCAAATGTCATAACCTCGCGTAATTTTCTTTACCTTTGAAAATAAACCTAATTTAAAACTAACATAATCTGTAAATATTACTTAATGCCTAATTAACAGTATTATTTTGTACAAAAACCAGTTGCGCGGTAAAGACACAAAATTCAAACGGTTTGACATGAGCTTTTAATCTTTTTGTTTTTATAACATTTTGTTAATTTCATTGTCCATTTTGCATTTACCTACGGTATTACTGTAATTCTACGGTCATGAAATAATTAGAGCATTCAGCCTCTAGGCGAAACACTCAAGGTAGCGTTTAAATTTCAGTTTAATTAATTTTACACACTTAGCCTAGTTTTATGGACGTTTTTTTTTTATTCATTTTTTTTAATTCTATCAAGCTATGAATACTTTAGTAATATATAGTCGTTTTTATAATAAACATCAGCAATCACTTACAAACGCCCCCATTAACATAGGTATGGTACCTCCTCACTTGTACTTTACTTTAGACAATTAGTTATTTTATATACTGAGGTTTTGCCATACATAGCAAATCTAATTATTTTTCATAAATACGTGAATACTTCTTATCCTTTTTTAAGCGTACAAAGGATAAGACGATTTTATTCTAATAAAGAAGTAGTGAAACAGTGGCACAGACCACACAGACACAACTTCTTTTATTTTCTTGGCAAGCGTAGAGATTGAATCTACAAAGAATTGTAAAATGTTGGCAAATAATTATTTACAAAAAAATTGTCATGGGCGATTTGTGTGCAATGGGTGACTTCTATAATCGAAATCATTAATTTATTTGTCCTTTAAAATTTACTTATTTACAAACGAAAATATAGCCGCTCAAAAGATGTACATTTTAACTATAAATTTAATAAACATAATATAGCCATTTTTGTAGCTTTCTTCAAAACAGTTTTAACGATACTTAAAAACCTGTAGGTATACGAGTACTGTCTCTTAAGCAATCGACAGCTTGTGTAAGTTTTAATTTATTATTCTTTTGATTTATGGTTGTCTATTTTCATTATGTGTAATACTCTAGTTTTCCATTTCCTTCCTTTTTTAAGTTTTGCTTGCTTACTCCAATAAGCGTTTACGAAAATTTCGCAATAAATGCAACCGTAGCTGTAACATTTTTTTGCTCATGTAGAATATTTCCACAACAATAACAACCAACAAAGTAACTATCTAAACATTTTTTTTAAACCTTGACCAAAGCTTGATAGGTACAAACTACATTTTACTTGTTATACATTAACTGACAAAAGTAAATGGCATTGAAAAACCTTTCACCCACGGAAGCATTGAAGGCAAACAGGAACGGGTGGGGCGGTTCAGTTGCACTCAGACGGAACATGCTCTCAATGTTATATTAAGGCAATTTTCCTATGCTAATAATAAAATTGAAGCCGATTTCATTTACTTGTTAGGAGGCGAGTAGAAAATATAGTAGGTTTGAATAATGGACCTTTGATCACTTTGTAAAGAAGAAGGCGGTTATCGATAACACTTTTATATTGATATTTTAAATTAGTTCGTAACTCGGATGCATAGTTTATCATTTACTTGATGATTTATTGGTAACACACCTGACCTTTTAATTTTTTATTCTTTTTTTCTAAGTTTAATATTTGAAATTCGAATGTAGCTTTTAAATACAAATAAGCCACCTCTAATGTGCCAAAGGGTTTTATTTCTGTTTAATTTACTGAGACATGTACCCGTGTGCTAATTGTTTCACTTGCCAAAATACCTACTTTTCTGAAATTCTGTAAAGATCTCAAAACTCATCATATTTAAATGAGGTTGTTATCATCATTTTCTTAAGCAGTATCCTTTTAATGAATGCGCATATCAGATCATTCATTAAATTAATTTCACTTTTTAAATTCCCCAAACTTTTAAAAAAGAACAGACTATTCAATGCGCTTAAATCTCTGCTTACATAATTACATCATTATTTTTTCATCATCACGGGTATTCTTCGATAGAGATATGTAAAAGCGAACAACGTAAGATATGTTTTGTAAACAAGACGAGAAATTGATTATATTTATTACAAAAAAAGAAAATAAAAAGTCTTCTTAAACGATCGTATTATCGTACCGTACAAAAAGGTTGTGTAATTGATCAAAGCTGGTTCGTAAAGCCATGAAATTGTATTTACTCTACTTTCTAATCGTAATGTTGGACGTAACTGTCGCCACTAGCTTATTAAAAGACTTTAGTATTATGTAGGCAGTCTTTTGGCTTAAAATTTATTACTATTGAGAGACGCAGACGAAGTTGCGCGGGTCAGCTAGTATTCAAATAAAGAGAACAACAAGGGACTGTATTTATTGCTTTTGAATGGAATGTAAAAGGGCGGCAAGAAATAACTACACGCCAATAAGAACTAGTTTATATTTCAACAACAGATCAAGTTTAGAGTCTTACATAACTACATTCCTCTATTTCGTTGTACATAGATACACGAGTGTTTGAAAGTCAGTTCGTGATTAATCGTGACATCGATTTCTGATGATAAGTAGTAATGTAAATTGAAGTTTGCACAATGTACGAAAGTACTAATGTCTTGATAAATCTAAATAATGTATAATGATTTGTAATTCTTTTTTTGGATTTTCTAAAATAGTACAGAGGATACTCTTAGCATGAGCCAACGAGTAGCCGTGAATTTCTTCCATGCGAATTAGGTTCAATAGTATAGTACAGTCAGGTTGTTTAACATAAAAGAGCAACAAGTACAAAGAACTCTCGTTTGACTACATACATGTCGACTTTTAAATTTCAAATCATAAAAATATTTGTTAAAATTGTTTTATTATTCTGTGTGTTTTCAATTTCGTTCTGTCTATACTGTCAAACTGCTCAGATCAAATAAAAAAGTTGAGATGGTACTCTGTGAACAAATACATACACAATTACACGCCCACACGTACAACGAAACTACGCCTAGTCAGTGAAAACAATCAAAATGTCAACAATATTTACAAGTAAAATTGCCGAATTGTGTTTTAAAAGGGTGTAAAAATCAAACTACAAGAGATAGATAGTAGGATGGAATCGCATTTCACACATTAGTAAGTGTAGGAACCAATATTTTAAATATTATAATAAAATTATGATGGCAGCACCGGCACATGTTAATAATATAAAACCGATGTAACTTCTTTTTTCCAAAGTTCCATCTTAACTTTTTTATTTGATCTGAGTCAAACTGTTACTGACCTTAGTTTTACTGAATATTTCATTTCATTGTTAGGTCAACCAATTTAGCACCCAACATACTGACGATAAATAAATAGGCATTGGATACAATGCATTAAAGCCTTGGCCTACACCTACACATGTTCAGCATGCCCCCAAATCCAGACTGAACATCGTTCTTTTAATGTGTGAAATTCTAAAAACAAAACACTGTATTTGTAAAGATATTCTCAAAATTATAGCAATGTTTTAGTTGTTACTTTGTTTTTGAGATGTCATTAATTATGTAAAATAATTTCTGTCCTGTCTGGTACCTGCATGATTTTGGTAAACGAATAATGTAAACGAGTTATAAATGTAAGTTTTCATTTGTACAATTCCTTTCAAAAATTAACTGTAATATTGATTCAGACATTTTTAAACAGTGAAAGTCTTTACGATTACAAAATTACTTTCACCAGTGCTTTTAGTACGGGGCAACATTGTAAAGGAACTCGTTCCTTAATCGTGGTAGTATATGACTCAGTAGGCCTCACAAAAAACCATAACGGACCAAAAAAGGATATGAGTTCGCAGTTTTCAGATTAACATTTTCTGTCAATGAAGTTTATGTCACAAGATTACTTACCGGAGGTCAATATAAAAAGGCGTTCCAAGGTCCAATTTGAAAGTTAACGTAGGCGTTCATTTAATACGCCTGACAGTGTTATTAGGTAATTAATTATTAAGTATTATTGGTTGAGGTACGCCCACTGTACTACCCACACTCCAGGCCTTAGTGTTACCTACCTATAACTTACGTAGATTTGATTTAAGCCGATAGGTAAGTGGTTTTGATGTTTAATATAATTATGACCTCCTGGGTTGCGAATGAATACTTTCTCATCTATCTTACTTCAATAATGAATAACGTAAATAAGTTTCTTGTATTACTATCGATTACCAACATTAGTTGATGCGTTTAAAAATCGTTACGATAAAAATAATATAAGTATGCATTTTAATTATTGTAAGTATGTTTTTGTTAAAATTTTATAAAAAGTGTGATAATTTGAGTGTAACTTATTAAAAATTCTCTTTAAAAGTTTAAATTCTTGAAAGAATGACATACGCCAAAATTTAAAAATATAGATAACAATTTTGAAATAATTATTATATAATTAGGTTTATTTACCTCCCATCGTTAAAGCATTAGCTATAAAATAAATTTAGATGACTATCTAATGAAAGAATATAATGTGCTGAGACTGACAAACAATACATAACAATGCGTGTAGGAACTCGGTCTCAAAAACGTCGACCTCTTACAATATAATGTTCCCAACAATACATTTAAAATTGCAATACAAAAAGCAATCGATGTAATCTTTTTACACTAATTGTTAGCAAAGTTTCCCCACTTAGAGCTTTTGATGTAAAACAATGAATTTTAACGGTCCACCGCGCGTGTCTCGACTTGCGCAATACGGCGCGAGCTCCAATTACTACTGTTGCGCAAATGGAGGTTAAACGTGGCTAACTCACTACCTACCGAGTTCCCCTATTGCAAATATAGCGTGTCGTTTGTGAAGCAATAAGGCTTCCGTTACTTATTTGTAATATGTATGATATCGTGATAACTTTTCAATGTTGAAATAGGTATATTCCATTTAAATAAAAACGTACTACAGTTTTTGAAGACGTGTTTTTAGTTTCAGAATTCAGTTTTTTACTAGCGACCCGCCCCGGTTTCCCTCGTGTGCAATTTTTACGACATCACGTTACAAATCTTTTAATTCTCGGATTTTCTCTACTATAATATGCATGTATTAAGTACACATAATAAATCTTCCTCTTGAATCACTCTATTGATGAAAACCGCATTAAAATCCGTTGCGTAGTTTAAAAGACTTAAGCATACATAAACGATCAAAACGTAAAGAAGCAGCAACTGAAGACCTTACAGCTTCTAAAAAATCCCGCTTTTGTTGCCAAGAAACGAAATCATTCGATAAAGCTTTTTAGCTCTACACATCAACCTTGTTACTACAACTACGACTACACCAATATGCTTCGGAAAACTTTTTTGAAGATCTTAAAGAAAAGGATAATTTTTTGCCATGATTCAGATAGCATAAATATTTATAGTAGTACCTACTAAGTGAAAGCGAAATCTTCGCCAAAAGTAACGCATTTAGTATCATTAGTAAGTATCAGACAGAGAAACTCATAATTTGATGACATATATTACCTAACTGCGGCAAATGATAGTGTTTACGTCGTATTACGTGTCGAACTAACTGCGGTATAATACTTGCTACCTACTTATGACACGCAATCTCAACGTTTCTGTCTGAGTAAATAAGCGTATCATCTCGTGACGACTTATTTTAAGAAGAGTATTACGTGTCATTTATCTAAATATCATCGTCTATTTTAAGCACTTCATTAGTCAGCTTCTGAAGGAAATGTAAAAATACACTTTTTATCTCTGAGGTAGGTGAGACAGGTGATGACAGGAAGACTTATTTTTATTTTTGGGACGATATAAATAGGAATAGTCACCGTCTACTCTTATTTCACAATTTTGTTAAGTAAAATTCAAAAAAATGTATATTGTAAAAAATTCGACATGAGCTAGTGAATCGAGACATATCATTCTATGTTAAGTTCTGCTTTAATACAACCATAAAACACTTCACGTTTCAATACTTTCTTGACCTGATAGAAGCCCCCCCCCCCCTGATGGGCCCCGAGAGATTAATTTTTCACGTCTACCATGAGTTAAGCAAAGATAAATCTTTTTAAATGCTCCAATCTCTAAAGTTTAAAAATGTTCCTGTGACCTGATCAGAATTGAAAACAAGCTGTTTTTTACCACAAAGCTTTTGACCTTAAGCTCTTAACCTTGAAGAAAAATACCTAATAATGAAAAGCTTTAGGTACCTATCATAGTTTAATCACATCACACACATCACATCACATCAACAGCCTTTAATAGTCCACTGCTGGACATAGGCCTCTCCTTAGAAAGGAGGTTTTGGCCTTCTATACCACGCTGGCCAGACGGGTTGGTATAGGGTTTGTGTCAAGTTTTCCTTCTTTTTGCTGTGACGGTGTCCTGTGTGGTTTTGTGCCCTTAGTCGGCTCTTTACAACACCCACGGGATTAATTGGGGTAGTGACATTCCGTATTCTTAATCCGTCACTACACGGACAATAGATTAATCGCGAATAATTAAATGTCAAACTAAAACACATTCTTTAATTGAAACTTTAAAATATGTTTAGATCAAATTGAATGCAATTCGATAGACTGTATTTTTTATTTTTATCTCCAATAATAACTTTAGTTTCCTCTTACAGCACGCAATAGTCCTAGCGGCGTTGGCTGCTGTCACCACAGCCATGCCATCCTACATCGCGGTGCCGGCGGACCAGATCGCCTTCGTCGACCTATCGGAGTTACGTGTACGCAGAGTGCCGCGTCAGACTCTTGAGCCCCCGCCTCCGCAGCACCTACCACAAGCGCTGTACCAACAGGATTATCAACCGATACAGTTCCAGCATTATCAACAGCAACGTAAGTATCCATTTTTTAAATATGTATGTGTTGTTTCTCTTTCTTGAATCACTAATGGATTGTTTGAGTAGTGGAATTGATATTGACCTTTTCTCCGACTAAGCACTGAGTTGTCTTATTATCATTATTGTCTTCTTGGGATTCTCTTATAAATCATATTCTGTATTAACTATTTCTAAACTAACAGCTCTGCAATACGTCTACTGTATACAAGACTAATAATAATTTTACAGTTTAATATGTATTCATATGTATTATTCCAACTTCGAGAACTATAATCAAAATTTAGTCATAGCTATTCCTTTGTGAAGTAGCAAATTAAAATAGATCTACAATATGTGTTCGTAAGGGCATCGATCAAGATTCTTGATCTTCTCACTTTCACCACAGAACAAAGGATCAAACTGCTTTCTATACCGTTGTTAAAACTTGTTTTACATTCAATACAACCGTGTCCATTCAATGGGAACAAATGTGGATGAATTTTTAATGCCTTACTTTCCCCTATTGTTAAACTGAAAGTAAAATCTGTATACCTTCTGAAATTTTTTGAAAAAGTTACATGAACTCATCATTCTTTCATTGTTCAACTAGTAAATGAAATTAAACAATGGTTATATTCCACCCACGAATTAAAATAATATTTGGTAAGGAACAGGATTATCTATTGACACTTTCTGGCTCATGTAATATCTGATATTTTATTGCTACGTAAATAATTGACAAAACGTATTTAAGTACTGCCTTTTTTGCGACGCAAGCAGATAGCTACTACCTCGCGTACAGAGCCGTAACATTAGATAACAAATCCAATTTCGTGCTTATATTATTTAGTGAGAAAACTATGAGGTAACATGTCACCCAGCTTTCCAATTACGACGTGATTGTAATATTTACAAGCGGTAATGTTTGATTTACTTACTTAGCGCTTTCAAATTTGTAATAAATTATGGAAGTAAGTGCTTCATGTTGCAAGTATCCTGTAACAGTTTGCAGGAAATGTTGCTCAATTAAGTCCATTCAGTTCAGTCACGCATACTTAATTCAAATATTCAGCTAGTTTAGTTTGCTAAAAACTAATTTCGTAAGAGATTAACGACTCCTTTACGCGGTTTGAAATGTGGACATTATATAAATCACTGAACACAGTTAGTTCTATATTATATTCCTATTGTAATAGTAAAGAAAATCTCATCTAAGAATTGCGTTTGTTTTTCATTTGTAATAGACCGTTGAATTTTAAATTAAAGAATTGAAGTCATAGAATAGAATACCAGTTTATTGATTTCCACATTACAGAAATTTTGTAGAAACATTTTTTGTTTAAGATATTTCCCGCACTAGTAATAAATCCTGTGTCGCGGGGGACTTAACAAACATACATGAAACGAACACAAAGAACACCCAGAGACAGAACAAAAATTTTTGGATCACACAAAGTGATGTCCCATGTGGGGATCGAACCCACAACACTTAGCGCAGTAGAAAGCGGCGAGGTGACCGCTTAAATCACAGTAGTCGTACAGTATACAGAAAACAGAACTATAATACCGAAAGCAAAAGGTCTAAGCGTCAGCTTATGCTTGGACTTCACATGGATTACCAAGCGCTGGTTTTCAGCATAAACCCTTGACTCCGATTTAGAAAACAAAAATAACTTATTGATAAAATATTTAGAGAATGAGTACTCGGATGAATTCATAAAACATTATTAATCTCGTCAGTTTCAATTCTTTTGCCTTATTATGTCTATTAGTCCTTCCATTAAAACTGCACCTCATGCTTTACTGTAATTGCCTACAATTTATCTAAGTATTCTAAAAATAAATTATAGGACTTCCTGTAGAAAATGGATTTTAAATAGCAGCTACTGTCGGAATGGGCCTAATTTGAAACATACAATCACATATCCATTCTTATTCTATATCTATTCTTGCCCATGAAATTTCACATTTTGTACTCTCATTACAGCGATTGCCCTAGCGCCTCCACAACAGCCTGAAGCCCCAGCAAGACTGATCGGAGTCCAAAACCAACAAAAAGACGTAGCAGGAGCAGGTACTTTAGGTAGAAGCTTACAATATGCGGAGAGGCCGCCGGACTTTGGAGAATACGTGGACTTTGGGGCTCATACAGGAGACAACGGCGCCTTCGGGTGGTATGCAGACTTTCCCATCAATAACCATGAAGATTCTAGTTACAGGAAATAGGTAATATGAGCAAGCAAACTCATCGGAAGTTATATCCGCTCTCAGAATTGTTTATTTTTCCTATAATTACAATACAGTAAGGATAAGTTTTGAGTAGGAGTAAATGGAGCCGACTAACTTTTGGAGTTTTGCTGCTCTTATGCACTCAGGTCTTGTCGATCAGAGGCTCGTTATTGGACTTATCTTGCCAAGCACTTGTTATTCAAATATTACCAAAGACAGTATTATTTCAAAGTGATATGATTAGTTTAGGTTCATAGCTGAATAACCGCACATTTGTTACAAACGGTTCATTCCGCTAAATGTTTTTATACTGCACTTTATACGATGTTAGTATATTAATTTTTAAGAGTTAAGTTCATAAAGTACACTGTGATACGTACTAGGGTAGCACTTATCTAATCTTTCTTCTCTGTCTATCTTTCTTTTCATTTCTTGTATTTCTCACTGTAATGCTTAATCTTTCTTCACGCTTGCTGTAGTAATCTATATTACAAAAATATATGAGAAAATTTATTCTTATTCTTTACTATTCTTAAACAAAGCTTTTCTATGCTCTTCACATTGTCATTCTTACTTTCTGTTTTTTTTTTGTATTACATTCTATCTTAGCCCTTATTTTCTATACTAAATACAAGCTGTTCTGTTCTTTATCGTTTCATTTCATTCTATTATTAAAACATAACTTAAGCTTTTTTTACTTAATTTCATTTGCAATTATTCTTGACAGTGTACTTTCATTGTCCTCTTCACGCTTTCTTTTACAATTTTATCGATTACTACGACTACTAGACTCTATCAACCATAATAATTTCTTTCATAAATCACAAATGTTATCACCACTGCTGTAATACAAGCATTGTTTATTCATGAAGCATTGCACGTCATACAGTCCGTTTAATTCTCTAAAATCATTTAATACATTTATTCTTTTAAATACATTAAAATGCTTTCGGTCACACTTATTTCTAACGTATTTGACATATTTAATTTTTTTCAACTTTTTATTTAAACTATCATTTCAGTTTCTTTACTTGCACCTATAAATATGCCAACTACCATCTGCTTCTTCTATGTATCTTAACTATACATCGCAAACTTCTTTTTTTTTTTCAAATTCTACCTTATTCCCTTACCTTACAGATCTGTCTGTCTGCCTTGCAACTTTATCTAATCGGTTCTTAATTATTCATTTCGTTCTTTTTTCTCTTAGTTTCTGTAATTTCTTCTCTTCGTCTTTAGATTTTCAGAGATTTTCCTATTTTTGTGAGCATTTCATTGTCTTTAAAAGTTCTATTATACATATAAGTATAAGTAAATATGTTAAACAATTTCGTGATATATAAAATTATAATGCTAACATTTAATATTAATATGTATCATAAAGTCTTTAAATAGTAATTACCATTTTTACCATATACTTAATACTTTTTCTACTATATTTTTCAAAAATCTTATACTTTTAGTACTTCTTTTATGTCTATCTCTGTTTTCTTCTTTCTGTTTTCTTTAAATAATCTTATTTTTCTTACTTCAAACTATTTGTACCTACCTTCTTTGTGCCTTTATTTTCCGAAATACTTTTAAAATGGAAATTCTTTCCTAAAATGTCTTTAATAATAACCACTACCCCATGCTTCAAACATCTTCAGTCTTTTCTTTCTTTCCTTGATTCCTTCTTTAATATAAACACTTTTCAATTTATTTCTTCTATTACCATGTCATTATTTTTCGTTTAAATACCATTACCTTTTCATTGCCATTAATTTCCAATTTAAGTAAATATAAATACAGATTTTTTCTTATTGTTACCATAACTTTCACCCTCTTTTTTCATTTCTTTCTTCTTCTCTTTACATCTCTTACTTATTCCTACTCTTACTCATTCACAGCGTTTTAAATAACGAGAATAAAACATAACGTGGCGATATTTAGCGCATGACTATATGTAAGCTCATTTATTGTTTATAGACTAAAATATTTGATGACAAAAGTCTATCTAGTAGTGTTTATTTTTTCACCATTATTCGCCAACAAATATCTTTCCATTTCCATTCTCTTCTCTTTTTCTTCTGTTTTACTTATTTATGTTCTTATTGCTTGTTTACTGCATAGTACTATTTATCTCTTTTTAATTTAATCTTTACAATATTTGAAGTACCGAAAAAGCTGCCAAAATCTGGCGAATGCGTACTAAGTTGGTAGACAACGTACTGTAGTACGAGTATAACAATTTACCTGGCCAAAGATACAGATGATTATCATCATTACCAGGTGATTGTCACATATGTCTAATACACAATGAATAAGGAAGTATGTTGAAGATCTTTCTTCGCATCGAAAACCGAAACTGTTTCTGTCTTGGCTCTTAAACACTGAATTACTGTCTTATTTCTGATCTCTGATTATGCTATATACTGTTCCTTCGCCTACTTGAAATTCTTTTCTGAATGTTTTTTTAATAATATCTACCACCAATTTTCATCTTTACCGTACCTCATCTATTGTTCCGATCCCTGTATACATACCTAGTAATTAAAATCACACTTTTTCATCTCTCTTAATTTAATTCTACACTTATTTAATCACCTGATGGATACACATGCTTCAGACAACTTCAGTCTTTTCTTTCTTTCTTTAATTCCTTCTTTAACATAAACACTTTTCAATTTATTTCTTCTATTACCATGTCATTATTTTTCATTAATATACCATTACCTTTTCATTGCCATTAATTTCTAATTTAAGTAAACATAAATACAGATGTTTTCTTATTGTTACCATAATTTCACCTTCTTTTTTCAATTCTTTCTTCTTCTCTTTACATCACTAGTATTTCACCTTATTTTTTCAATTCTTTCTTCTTCTCTTTACATCACTAGTATTTACATCTCTAACTTATTCCTACTCTTACTCATTCACAGCGTTTTAGATAACGAGAATTAAACGTAACGTGGCGAAATTTAACGCATGACTATGTGTAAGCTCATTTATTGTTTATAGACTAAAATATTTGATGACAAAAAGTCTATCTAGTAGTGTTTATTTTTTCACCATTATTCTCCAACAAATTTCTTTCCATTTCCATTCTCTTCTCTTTTACTTATTCATGTTCTTATTGCTTGTTTACTGCATACTACTATTTATCTCTCTTTAATTTAATCTTCACAATATTTGAAGTACCCAAAAAGCTACCAAAATCTGGCGAATGCGTACTAAGTTGTAGACAACGTACTGTAGTGTAATAAGTACATGGCCAAAGGTACAGATGACTATCACCATTAACAGTTAATTGTCACAGATGTCTAATACACAATGAATAAGGAAGTATGTTGAATATCTTTCTTCGCATAGAAAACCGAAAATGTGTCTGTTTTGGCTCTTAAACACTGAACTACTGTCTTATTTCTGATCTCTGCTTATGCTATATACTTCTTCTCTATATTCTTCCTTCACCTACTTGAAATTATTTTCTGAAAGTTTTTTAATAATATCTACCACTAATTTTCATCTTTACCGTACCTCGTCTATTGTTTGTATCCCTGTATACATACCTACTAAATAGCATCACACTTTTCACCTCTCTTAATTTAAGTCTACACTTATTTAATCACCTGATGGATACACATGCTTCAGACAACTTCAGTCTTTTCTTTCTTTCCTTAATTCCTTCTTTAACATAAACACTTTTCAATTTATTTCTTCTTTTACCATGTCATTTTTTTCATTTAAATACCATTACCTTTTCATTGCCGTTAATTTCCAATTTAAGTAAACATAAATACAGATTTTTTCTTATTGTTACCATAACTTTCACCCTCTTCTTTCATTTCTTTCTTCTTCTCTTTACATCTCTTACTTATTCCTACTCTTACTCATTCACAGCGCTTTCTATAACGAGAATTAAACGTAACGTGGCGAAATTTAGCGCATGACTATGTGTAAGATCATTTATTGTTTATAGACTAAAATATTTGATGACAAAAAGTCTATCTAGTAGTGTTTATTTTTTTCACCATTATTCTCCAACAAATATCTTTCCATTTCCATTCTCTCGCGAATGCATACTAAGTTGGTAGACAACGTACTGTAGTATAATAAATACCTGGCCAAAGATACAGATGATTATCATCATTACCAGGAGATTGTCACAGATGTCTAATACACAATTAATAAGGAAGTATGTTGAAGATATATCTTCGCAATCGAAAATCGAAACTTTGTCTGTTTTGGCTCTTAAACACTGAACTTCTGTCTTATTTCTGACCTCTGCTTATATACTATTCCTTCACCTCTTCTTCTTTATTTCTTTTCTATCTTTTCTGCCTTTTTCTCATGACTTATCCTATTCTATTTCTACATTTCATTAAATTATATTTCATCACTCACTTTCGTCGAGGTACCTCTTTCAAACTCTTTAAGACGCTATCAATTCTTTACTTTTGTACTGTATCATCACAAGCTCAGCTCGACTCGTGCTCTCTTGCCTTACTTAAGCCTCTTTCACTGTTTTGACTACACATTTTCTTTCTAAATCATCTTCTTAACGTCATCATCTGCCTGTCATTTCATTAAAATTATTCTATTTTCTACACCTACAAACTATTCTCTACCCACTTAACTCTTTTTACTTCTCTGCCTTTTAGACGCATACAATTGTATTCGTGTACTGAGTTTCCGTATAGGTACTTTCATAATGGAATAAACACATAGTTTAATATGAATAAACACATAATGGAATAAACACATAGTTTATTCCATTATGAACACACATCTTTCTTCACCTTGAATTTTAAATCAAACCTAAACTTTCAGTGCTTTTCTTCCTAAGTATCGCAATCATTAGGTTTTACACTCTTTCGAAAACAATATCTTACTTCAAATCAAACTTTATTATTCGTTTCTTTCATGTATACTTTTATTAAATTACTTTTTAATTTCTTCCTTCTCCTTCCTAAAGTTCTAAAAAATCTTTCTTTTAAAATAAACTGCTCACACTG